CGAGGAATCTCTTCCCTCACACTTGATATGCCCAGCTTAGCAGTAAGTTGCATTCCTGAGGTGTCCTGGGCATCCTGCATCCGGCACATTCATTCCTGTGAAATCCTGATTTGACTGCTCCTCCTGCAAAGTGCTGCTGCTGCTGCAGACTTCACGGTGCCCTCGCCAGCTCTGAACTGCTCTAGTTTCCAACTAACAACAGCTGGAATAAAATCCTGGTAATAATCAGACATATATAAAACTATAGCTAAAACCACTGCTGCGATTTAGACAGAAGAAATTGAAAGTCAAAATATTGGTAGCTCTAACTCCTATTCCTCCTTCTGCCACTGGTCTGCTGTCTAACCCCAGGCAAGTTGCATCCCCTTTCTGCATGTGGTTCCCTTTCCTATTTAAGCTGCAAATTCCCACCGGGGGTGACCATCCTGGTCATGATGCTAAGCAGGTAGAAATCCAACACAACCAACCCTTCATTTCAGCGTCTACTAATATTTCTGTTAATAAATATTTGCCCCACTACTGAGTAATGAAAACAAAACCCCTGAATGATCAGTGGTGCGTTATATCACCCTGAGGTGTTTGAGTATGAAATGGAAAGGAAACGCTATCTCACGTGGTTGCAGGCCAGAGAATATCTGTGTTCTTCTCTCGCCCATTTTAGCAATCCAATTAAAGGTAACTGGGTTTTTAAACTGTGTGAAATTACTCAAGAATATCACCACGGGCGGAACAGTATCCTGTGAAGAGGAAGGGAAGGGAGCAAGGAAACAACGGGAAGCAAAGGGAAAAAGGCCAAACATGCCAAGAGCTGGATCCCAGAATCCCAGGTTTGCACGTACCCAGCTTCCAGGGAAACGAAGCCAGACACCTCAGCACTTCTGAGGATCTGGATCTGAGCTGACGGGCTTCTAACCATAATGGTAACACGAAGCACGGAGCTACAAGCACCAGAAGCCTCTTGCAGTCCTTTAAGCAGCAAAAACTAGAAAACTAGAATTACTGTATGAAATTAATTCCTGCTAAGTTTGCAAACTGCCATTCATGCCTGAAGCACTCTGAGCTGTTCAGAATTAGCTCCCCATTAACCCATCTCCCAAGCAGAAACGATCACTACACTCACCAGGAAACAGAAGGGTGTTTCCATGCCCAGACGTTTGATTGAGCTTGCATAGCCTGAAAAGCCCTTGAAATCCTGGAAGAGTTCTTCATTCCTGACCACCTTTGCTCTTTTTGGCTGATAGCACGATCTTTTCAAGCACAAACATTGGCAGGAAATAGTATTTGCAGCACTGCTGCAAGATGTACAATTAGGACGGTAACTTCTTTAGAAATACTGACTGCAGATTAGATTTAGTGAGAATGTTTTAAATAACCTGCTCTGCAGAAAGCCTCCTTGCTAATATGAAGAGCATGATGAGCAGAAAACGTGAGAAGCCCTCTCCCTCGCTGACAGGGGTAAATGAAGCTCACTGATTAGGAAGATAGGCTTAATGTGCGGGAAGATAGGATCTGGGGAAATAAATTTAGAAGAGGAAGCTGCTGTGTTCCACTAGACCACAAAGAAAAAGCAGTTCCTGATCAAAAAAAGAGCAAAATTCAAGCGCGCAAAATAGAAATCAGGAGGGATCCTCACAGTCATCTCTCCTGTGCTCTAGGGGATGCTCTTCACTAGTTTACAAGGGAGAGAGGCTCCCACTACAAGCGGGGGGAGCCCATGGCACCCATAGGACACCCTAAAGGCTCCAACTTCCCTTGGAAGGAGCAGAGCCTGTTACCAGGAAAGCGATTGAGAAGTGAGGCCCGTCACCAGGAACGTGACTGCGGAGCGAGGCCTGTCACCAGGAACACAGCCCATCACCAGCTGGGCTGAAGGCCATCACTGACTTGGACGATCCCAGAAAAACACACATTCTAGATGGAAAAATAAAATACAAAAAAGCACCGTGTGGACTTCCACAAAAGGCACGTGCTTAAAGCCTTTTAGTAAACACAAGCTCAGGATTAGCCACGCATCTCGGCTAGCTCTGTTACATTCCCTTTGTGTGAGACAAAAATCAAGGAAGATGCCACCAGAAAAGGCCAGTGGCCTGAAAGACGAGGGCAGAAGCACAGAGCAGATGGCACGTAGGGACTCAGGAGTGACTTGTTAGTACTGGGCCTGAATCTGCCTCCGCACAGCAACACCAGGCAGCTTGCAAAGCCGCAGAGCCCACAGGGTAGGGAGTTCCTTTGGACAGACCTGCCCCACGAAACGCTTCCAAGACTGACCCCAGGAGCAGCTCGACCCTCAACAGGGCGGCCCGAGTCCCGTGGGGTTTTCAGAAAAGCCTCCGCCGGAGGTGCGGGAATTGGCCTTGTGCTGCCCCGGGATCCAGCGATCCAGCCCAGGCGCTGCCGCGTTCCCYGGAGCCGCCTCCCGACGAGCACCGCCCGCCTGCTGAGCCGCACACACCAAGAATCCGAGATTTCATCGCATCCCACAGGGGATTTTAGCAGCCGGGGCAATTACCCGTCGGAACATTGCGAACTTCAGCCCCTGTTTGCTCCCTGTTTAGTCCCCATTTGTTTAACCGAGGCTCCTGGTTCTGCTGGCCTGTTCAGCCCTGGCATCTTCCCCTTGAGGAGGTGCCTCCGGTGCAGTGAGTCATACCCTGGCCTTGTCCTAGGCCTCAGGCACAGCAACGCGAGCCTGCTGCCTTTGAACAAACACCAGGGGCTCTTATCAGCCTCCTTACCAGATCCTGCATCGGAAAAGAAGCCAGCACAACACTTCAGTCTGCAAATTTTACCAAATTCGAGTCCTTTCCTACTTATTCCAGCACCGTTCACCCAGCCAAGGCCTCCACAGATGCCGTGGCCACGGGTCAGCTTGGTTAACCCATCAGCTAGACTTCCAAATCCACCTCGCAGAGCCTGTTATTTATTCTTCTATTTATAATGTTGCATTTTGCCATATTAAAATACATTTCATTCACATGAGGCCAGCTTGTCAAAAGTGCCTTGCCAACTTGCATGTCATCCACAGAAATTCAACATCTGCTTCCAGACACGGAATTGTGCCCTTGCAGAACACCCACAGAAATATTTCCATGCTGCGGTAACCAACAGCTACAAAAGCTGCAAGTTAGCCAGTTAACCCATTTACCGTGGCGAGCAGATATTGTTATTATTGTATAATGTAATCTTCATGTATTTTTTCTTAAATCAATGTCGTACACAAAGTAAATCAAGCATTCTCCTTTCTCAACCAAATCTGTAATTTTATCAGAGTGTAAAATCTACTTTGCCTGATGCAATCATCTATTTCCCACAGCTTTTCTCCAGCTTTAAAAATTCCTATCCTTAACTCTTTTTTTAACAGCACTTTTGCCTTTTTTTTTTTTTTTTTTAAGACTTTCTTTTTTAAGCTAGGACTAAGCTCAGTGAAGTTTTGTTTGCTTGTTTTTAATGGAGGATTGAACCAGTTACACTAATTGAGTGCTCAGATTTTCTGAACATGGATAAAATAACTATCACCTTTCCAATCACCTGGAGTTTTCTCCCCGATCCCGTTTCAAACATTAAGATGTAAACAGCACGATGCTCAAAATCTCCTCATCCAGTTCCCTCACCATTCTTGGATGCAGTTTGCTCAAGTCTGGAGACTTAAAATGCTCTTCTCCACACAATACTGTTTAACATCCATTTATAAATGGATTGGAAAGCACTTCCACTGTCCTCACCGTGCACCATAGCCGTATCTTCTTTCTTCTCCCACAGGACAGACCAGCAGTTGTATGAAATGCTGACAATACACTCTAATAGCTGCAGAAAGCACAGGCTTTCATTTAGAGTATTTTCTTTTTTTTTTAAACCGAAATTTGGACATTTTCGGTACATCAGTTTTTCTGGGTTTTTTTTTTTAGACATGCAAGAAGCGTATCACGGCACATATAAATCTTCCTCCGAGCACTCAGACTTTTTAAAAGAAAAAGGAGTAAAATACAGTTTATACTACAGAACACAAGCAAACCATCTGCAAAACTTCAAAAAAGCTGACACCAGTTTTGGAAAAAAAAAATAATCTGCAAATTGTTGTTATGCTGTGAAATCCTTGGGGGGAAAATGGACAACAAACACAGTACAGGTATCCGTGAAAAAACAGATCAATTAGTTCATTGGAGACAACTTTGCTACAAAGGATTTGCTTTTCTTCATTTTTGTTTGTTGGGGAAGGGGCATTATTTTCAAGACCTCACTTGGCACTACCAGCCCTTAAATACAGTCTAAAACATGCATAGTTTTTAAGATGTGTTGGAAGCTGGGAAATCAGTGAAGTGCAAAAAAGATCTGCAGTGCATTTAAAATTCCCCTTGCCCCTAAAAAGCAGAACTCGGGGAACTTGCCTTTCCGCACAGTGGCTGAGGGTGCTGGTGCTGGGTCGTGACGAAGAGCAGGAATGCTGACGATCTGTAGCTGTCACAGCAGCACTAACTAGCACGTTTGAAACAAAATACTTGCTGCTTCCTAGATTCCACTAACAATGAAAATAGCATCCTTAATCTGGAAAACTGTGCCAACTGCTTCTGTCTCACACTCACAGATTTCCCCACCACCGGCAGCAGTGAGGGTAGATGGGAAGAGTGCAGCCTCTTCTTCAAAGTCCAAAAATTCCCACTTCCAGAATTGTGACACAAATAAGAGACAGAAAAAAAAAAAAAAAAAAGGAGAAAAAGGAGAAAAAGGGGGGAAAAAAAGGAAAAAAAATAGGGGAAAAAACTAAATACCACACAAAGGAGAAAAACAGGTTGGTTTTGGACCAGTATGCAATAAAAAGATGCTGTACATTTCAACTAGCAGAATGATGAAATTCTTAGACTGTTCTTTTCCAATTATATAAGCAATTAGAAATTCATCTATTTTGTATAGTAAGTCAAGTTTAAAAAATAACCTCCAAGTCTTATATTAGGAAAAACTGAGTCTTGGGAAAGGCATTCAAAAAAGAAAGAAGTAAGTCTTACCATCTTGATACCAGTGGAAAATGTGACTGGTTTGACAGCTTTGGGTTTTTCCAATTGCATTTCTAGCTGAGTAGACCTGTCCTTATGCTGAGCTAACAGCAGGGAAGCGGGAAGATTGGAGCTCTCCTGTAAACAKACAGGTAACAAACGTGAATATTCAAATGAAATAAATATTAACGCTACATATTCCTCAAAACTGCAAAGTGTGTCTGAAAGGCCATCGTGAGCAGAGCTGAGTGGTGCTAAGTATCCTCTAAAGGAGGAACAGTTTACTGAAAACCATCATTTTCAGTAATAGGAAAAAGCTGCAGCAGCMCCATAAATCACAGTAACCTGCAAACAACTGGTTTTATAGAATCCACATTAAAGACAATATAACAGGCTTCTTATTCCAATCAGCCAATGCAACTATATTTATTAAAATAAAAAAAATTGAACTTAATCAGAGAAGGAATAATACAAAGTAGTATAACTTGGATCAGATGTTTATCTAAGACACATTCTTTCTACCAATGAACTCAGACCAGTTTGAAATTGCTTCCCATTAGATTTCACCTGAGGCCGTTTGGAAATGATCCTTGCTCTGCTTTGCACAATGGCACTATTGTAAGTGCAAGCAACAGCATATTTATTTTCTCCTTTACCAACTTATTTTCAGGGAAGCCAGCCAATTTCTTTTTCTAAATATGTAAAACTAATAAAACGAAAAGTCAAGCAAATTAACTACTTTAAAATCTCGTGTTTAGGCTACAACAGATTGATTATAAACATACATATACATACTACATTCTTGAGAGCCAGAAAATTACTGGCCAAATAACTTCCTAATAAACTAGCCTGACTATCCACACGCACATTGAAATTCCCTAATTTGCCCAACTACAACGAAAGCAAAGCTGGGAGTAGGCAAGGAGTTGAGAATGGATTATTCCCAGAGTTTTCTGGTGCAAGATTGTATTCATAAAACACTCAAATATCACATGTACTTCTGTTTCAAGGAACCAAGTAAATATTGAACTATGAACCATATTTGCTTCTTGCCAAAACCAACTGAGCTTAATAAACTGGCCTGTGGATCATATATTTCAGTTACAGCCACCTAGAGTAAGAAGCTTGAAGTTTTTCATGCAGTGAGGTGCCTTGCTGGGCTTCATATTTTAGAGATGTGAAATGACTGTGAAGAATAGGGATGCTGGACACGTACTTTTCACATCACCTGTCCTGCTGCACTTCTGGTGCAATAACTGAGCTCCAGCTTCTGAAGAGCTTCACACGAGCACGACGCCAACCTCCATGGCAGCTCCGTAACGAGCATTTGGCTGCAGACCGTTTAGAGTGTAAATCAAGGGAGTGCTTTAAATTTTTTATTCAGCCTTGGTTATCTAAGACTGGAAGGTAAATTTATAAATATATATATTTCTTCCAACAAAACGTTAAATCTACTTGGGACTACAAGTTATACCTGGGAGCTCTGTGCTGTCTTYGAAGTGGTCATTTTTAATTTAAAAGAGGTTATTATATAATGATAGCAATATAAAAACTGCCTAATTTAGTAACCAGAGGCAAAATGGGCGATGGGCAAGAGCTCAGGACCAGGAGCCACAGTACCTGCTTCTTGCAGGAGCCTTCACAGCCTGATGTGCCCACAACACCATCCTCCTCTCCCCAGCAGGTCCCTGGGTCTTTGGTACAGCACCAACCACCACAGGTTTAAAGATTTTTTTTAAATAAGTCATTACTTTTTTTACTGCTTATGCTCCTTCCTGCTGCATCTGCAGTCAGCCTCATTTTCAGATTTGCAAGGCAGCATTAGGGGGATCTCAGAGACCAAAGCAAATGTTTATTTGTTTAACAACCACTGGTTTTCCAGAGACCTTATAAGTCATTGTACAAACACTTCAATGCTGGTTTTATAAACCTTTAGTATTACAAAACAAGTTTGGGTCCAAATTTAAGCTGACAGTGCCCGTTCATAAACAGAGAGGTAACCTAAAGCTTCCCAGCTTCCTTCCTCTGCCTTTAAAATCACCTTTCTGTTATTTTTAGAATATTGAGACTGTTTTAATAGCAATACACATGCAAGCGCGTTAAAAGTACCTAATCTTGGCTATGTTTTAAGGATTATTTATAACCATTATTTTCTCAGACATCTGGTGAAGTAGGTCTCCAGTAAAGCTAACTGCAGCATAAGTAAACAATACTGCTCTCTACTAAATAAARTGTATTTTAAAGCAAGATTGAATACAGTTTAGGACATCAGAAACCAGGTCAAAATCMTTTTTCATAGCCATTCAGTTTGAATTTGCAGTGGAGTCTCCCTGCTGTGTGGGGTGTAAACATTTTGTTGTTTTAGCTTTAATGTGAGAAGAAACTGCTGGATGCAAAGCTACAGACTGGRGAGATTTGCAAGGAACCCTTCAGCCTGCAGAAAAATGAAACACCAGCTCCTTACATCTACATTCTGAATAAGGGTTGAGAAAAACTCCCTAGAATTGATTCCTGGCTGCACTGGACATTCTGGACACTGACTCAGTGAAGTCTGTTTCTCAGAACCAGTTTTGGAACCAGTTTTGGCAGCTCATGGCTTGCYAAAACCATTCAGGGTTTTTTGCAGCAATAAAAGGAATGATAAATGAGAGTACAGTAACACATAAAAAGTCCAAAACAGGGGAACAGAAGGGGAGCAGAAGGGATAATTCCACAATTCAAGTGTGGAAGTGCTGAACATAGTTRCTGTTTGCTGTACTATACAACACTCAAAGCCTCTGGTTTTGGCACTCACCAGTTCATCCAAGAGCGCCTGCTTATTCTTCCTTTTCATCATCTGCTGCAGATGCTCTTCCTTCTGTATGAGCAGTCGCCTCTGCTGGTTTTCCTGCCGTTCCACCTCCAACGCTTCCTCCAGCTCCTCCTGCTCCCGGGTCTGCAATGGAAACATTAAAAACCCACCACTAGCAACAATTTTCCTCCCTTGGTGGAAAGACTTTGCATCCACAGCTATGTTGCCTATCAGAATACCTACAAGAGATCAAGCAACAGGAAAGCAGGCAAATTCTGCCTTKTAAGGGGCATTTTGGATGAGGACTGATGATTTGACCTTCCTTTACTGGTAAGTACAAAATAGACATAGACTTTTCCCTGCTGTTCGCTACAGAAGGAAAAAAAAAAGCATCATCTTGATCTTTTCTCTTTAAATATTAGATGATGACAATGGCTTTTCCTTATACCACCACTGYAAAATAAGATGACATCTCTCTGTTCCTACATCTGACTCCTAAAGAGATGTAGCCAAGGGTCAGAAAATACAGTACCACAGAACTGCAGCAGTCTGGCATGAGCTAAAACATATTTAAGTATGAACTGTAAGAAAGATCAAATTCCTAGAAAATTAGATTTTTTTTTCCCCCATAATTGGATTGCAGTCATATGTGCCACAAGAGAAGAAGAAGTTACTAGAAGAAAACTAGTTTTCTTTTCAGGATTTAATTCTTCCTCTTAAGAAGGTTTTGTTTTGACATTGTAAACAATTAAGGCAACTGTATTTGAAAGTTATAGTAAAGAAAAGAAGGGCTCAAAGACAAGAGAAGCAAAGACAGGAAAGAATAAAAATATTAGGAACTAAAAATTATATATATATATACATATATAATATAGGGAACAGAGAATCAAGCTGGTCACCAACCAAAAACCCACTGAAACAAGATTCTGCTTACAAAACCCCAAATTGCTAATTGAGGTTATTTCTGAGAATTAAGGGATCTAGCAAGTTCAGTCAACAGAATTTAAGAACTGAGGGTATTTGAGATCACTGAAGCTGCCTGGAATTTGCACTGAAACAAAAGAAAACTTGTAGGGAAGTGCCGAGAGAGCCTGAAAAGCCAGCCTAGGGGAAAAAAAAAAAAAAAAAAAATATATGGGTAAATTTATAAACAACCTAAGCCAGATCAGACTACAAGAACAAAGGGAGAATTAGCCCAAGTCAGAGTGAATTACTTCTGAAGGGAAGGAAGACCAAACAAAACAGCTGAGAGCGAGAGATGGTCTGTAGGACACTTCAGATTCAGTCAAGAATAAAGATATTAGAGACCCAAGCAATAAAAACAGTAACAGTGAAACCTGGGGCAAAGTCAAAATATGTAATGGGAAGAAGCATTTAGAAACAGTGTTTCCCCACACTCAAAGAMTGAAAAAATCATGAAGATTTAAAATGTTCACATTGTGGAGTCCAAAGAAAACTATTTCAAGTCTGTGAACAAAATATGAAATTAGATATACAGCAACAAAGTGGGAAGTAACAAATTACCCTATACCTGGAGAAGATATTGGTTTTAAGATTTTTTTTTAAATTTAAACTTATGTATTTATTTTTCCTCATGTGAGCTTGCATTAAATCTAGAGAGCSAACACACAGGTTAGCACAGGAATAGCAGGGCCCTAAGAAACTACTGAAAAGGCAACACATCTGTCTTGAAAGAACTAGTAGTCATTTCATCCTGAGTTCAATAACTTCATATTTTCATTTGTAAAGAACAACATGCTCACGAGGCCAAGAGCAGCCAAAAAGAAGGGCTGAGAAGTTACAAGGACGTGGACAAGGACTCTGCTGGCCTGCACCTTGCTAAGCTCGTATGAATARTAAGCTCGTACAAATAGGCTGCCTACAAACTCGTATACACGAACTAGAGATGGACTGAGAGTAATTCTTAGAGGTTAGACCTTAAGAGGTTGTGCCTATATTGTAACATATGACGTGGTCAAGGATGTGGAAGAGCCCTTGGAGCTCTATGTTCCTCTGAAGCATAGGATATTGCACAGCGTCGGCCACAGGACAAGAGATCAGAGATGGACCCCTAGGGAAATTTCCTCGCCTTTAAAAGGAAGGGGTTCAAACAAACATTTTTCAGATTCCAGCCTCCTCCTGTGAAAGCCCGGGGCCGAAGAAATCACTGGGAGTTTTGCCACAGACTTCATGGGAGCAAGGGCTTCACCCCTACCGATTTGAAAGCGAGTTCTTAGGACAGCTAGAATACACACAGACACACACCCCTGTTATGTCACACTCTTGGCAGACATTTTCCTGCAGGAACCAATAACTATGTATATTTTTTAAACTGAAAAAATATTTAACAGATTAAACATTTCTTTAAGAAAGAAATCCATGTACGTTTATTTTGAAAGAACAAAATTATATCTGAGCCATATTTAAATGAATGAATCTTCAAAGAACCGTGTGTTTTGCACAGGGACAATGTATACAATCCTTCCGCTATTATTATCAGCTCTTAAACAAAAGTTTTCAAGTTTGTTTCAACATCTTTCATTTCAAATTTTGCATAAACCAGACCTTTGCTTTCTTTCAGTCTTGCAAGTCTCTCTAGGGAGCTTCATAATGTCTGTGTCTGGATTCCTTTTTTCCTTCATATGAGAAAGGAATGATTGTCCTGCTATAGGAATGAACTTGGTCCCTCCTGGATATTGTYCAATGACACTGCCAGCAGGCACGCAGTGGTGATGAATTAGATGCAGACTTTTCTGTCTGTTCCTCTTTTTAAGCTCTTCCCAAAATAAGAATAATTGTGTCCTGGCTATCAATTTCACCTCTTTACGCAGCACTAAATAATAGTATCACAGAATATTAGTTTATTACACTCTTTTTAATACAATGGGAAACTTATATCAAGGTTTTAGCTTTGATTTGTTTTTAAGATACTATTTTAGGAAGTACTGCACTTGGCAAACTCTTTCACTAATGAATAAAAAATTGTAGGGAGATAAAAGTTAAACTAACCAGTTTTATCTTATTTTTCTGAATGACTTCTTTGTTATCCTTCTGGTACATCTCCATTTTCCTTTTGGTGTTCTCCAAATCCACATTGTTGGTCAGGTTAAATACTGCATAAATACCAGAGACATGAAGGAAAAGAATTAGGTTGGCATGCACAACTACAACAAAGAAATACTACCCTTATGTTCTCTCTCCCTTTTAGTATCAGACAAACATTGCAATAACAACATTTATTTAAATATGCTCTGCAAAGCAAGATACAGTCTGCTAAATCATGGTGAAGTTCAAAAAGCTGTGGAGTTGCTTTAGGTTGATATATCTGAAGCAGATGAAAATGCACTGTTTTTTTTTTTTTCATCCTATTTTGAATGCTGATAATGAATAACTATGATATTGTCAGCAAAATACTGACCTTTAAGTAGCGGTTGCAGCTAAGAACACACAGATTCCTGTGAAATGAAATCAGACTAACACAAGGTTAGAAAGGAGGTCCTTCCATTTCATAAGGCTGCCTAATGCACAGGGATTACAGAGCACGTATTTTCAAGTACACGTGAAAACGGTCACCTTCTTTTACAACTCAAAGGCACCAAAGCACAATCACATCTATTATGTGTAATGTGCAGATGCATTCGCATGCAGAGGTTAGATGAGATGGTTCTGGTCTCTTGTATCACATGCAAATGCAAAGAGGACATATCCATCCATACAGCTATGAGCAAGCTGTACAGCAGGGTCAGCCAGCAAGCTCCACTGCTTAGCTGCATATTCCTGATTACAGAATCACAGGATGGTTGAGGTTGGAAGGGACCTCTAGGGATCATCTAGTCCAACCTCCCTGCTTCAGCAGGGACACAATTACCTACATATGCCACAGAAGCCACTTCAATAAATTCAGTGGGTGCTATAATCAACAGCTTGAGAGACGAATATCATTTGGATGATGAGTAATTCAATATAGAGCCCGAGCCTTTCACCCCCAGGTCACTGGTTCAGCCGTGGGTCAAGCAGACCCCAACTGAGAGCCATTATCACACGAGTCACCCTGGCCAGAGGGGCTGCTGGGCTCATGCCCACTCCCTCCTCAAGCCAGCCCAGACCACGGGCTCAGAACAAACCTTTAAGAGGTTTGCAACAAGGTCACAGTGCATGCAGACAAAAAGCAGAGAAATCTGTGCTGTTATTGATAAACCCTTTGCAAGAAGGGAATGCTGTAGCCGTTGCCCTGGGCCAGCTCCTAAAGAATGGAAGGAGGCAAAGATGCTAACAGAGGACTTAGCATATTTCAGTTCAGTCTTGCAGAGCAGCAAAAGGAACAAGAGGTTTCAAAGGAGGCACCGCTGATACAACACAAAACAGGAGGTGGTGGGAAGGGGGAGAGGACCAGAGAGCACGGCTGGGGGACGCAGTTCAGTCCCAGCACCAGCATCTCTCTATGGCYAGGAGGGGTGTCCTGCTCTCACCTCCACCTCCAGGCACGAGCCTGGCCCTCTGCTCTGATTCCAGGACTCTCTGGACCCTCTGCAGGGGCAACGGAAACCTCAACCCTGGCTCAGCAAAGAGGTCAGGCAAATGCCAGAGCTGGAACGATGGAAACTGCAGGAATACAGAGAAGGGAGTAGGAAGAATTCTCTTTCATGGACTATGCAATTGATAGATCCCATTAGACCTACCAGAAGTCCTCAGTTCTTGCTTAAACTGCAACAAAATATGACTGGGTAGAATATAGTTGAATAAATTCCCAACCTTAAGCAAACAAATTAAAAAAAAAAAAAAAAAGGCTGTGTGCATTTTTTCCTTTTTTTCCAAAGAACGAGCAATACCGAAGGACTGACATTTTAATTCATCCTGACTCCTAAAACAGCTGAACTCTATCCCGCACCCTCCCAACTTCCAAAGCAAGCTGGGATGCAGGCTGCTTTTGTGGTTTAAGCCTTTGAGAGAGAATCCAAACCTGGGATCAATTTCCAACACTGCAGCTGATCCTGGACAAAGCACTTGACCTCTGTTCTGGAGGTCCTCCCTCTGCAAAGACAAGGGCAGGGGCATAAGGCTTCCTTTCTCCTACCTCCTAGCAGCCGAGCCTGCAGCCACGTGCAGCTCGTGGTCTTTAGCTCAGAGGTCTTCACAGCATCTCAGGTGGTGCCCCCAGGTACTGGAGAGGCAAAAGCCACAGAGCTCTCTGACTTTCCAGGTTGGGTTTAGGGAAAATTTACTCATCTCAGCTATATTTTATGGGTTTTCCTCTCCAAAACACAGAACAACATTGTCCAATTTCACACTGCAGCCAATATTCAGCTTGCAGTTGTAGCAGCATTTCCTTAAGAAAACATCTTCTTCTTAGTCTTGGTTTGACCTCCAGCTTCCAAGCCTTGAGTTTCCAGCTGACAAGCAGTTTAATACTTGAGCATTATGGCAGAGAAGAATTGTCATGTGAAAACGCTGGCACACAGTCAAGATCGGGGCTTTGCAATGACAGCAGCTGCACGGGAATGTCAGCACTTCCTACAACTTAAATCCAGGCAGCAGCTCTCCAAACTCTTCAATGACGACACAAGAAAGAAATAGCACATGAGACATGCTGTGCTAGCAGGATGCCCAGATGCCACCTTCAGGTGCAAGAGAAGGAACAAGACGAGAAGCCAAATGCCATTGGGCTCCTGCACATCTTGGGTATTCCTCTAAAAATAATCCAGCAAGAAGCTAGTGACCTAGGGTCTCTGACTAGTGCTGGCTGTTTTTTTTTTTTTTTTTAGTTGGCATTAAGAAGTTCAGCAATTTAGCTAGGTTTGTGAACTACCAAGCTGTAAAATGTAAAGCTTATATTGGGTAAAGYGAGGAAAGTTCTACACTTATGCCACTGCCCCACCCCACCAAAGGCTGGTGTATCTTGCAGCTTGGTATGAAGCAGCATTTCCATGCAAACACTGTCTCCACATCAGTGTTTAAGGAATCTCCAAGAAGCACTTGTGCAACCAGTCCCTAMAGGCCTATAGCCCTGCTGGGAGTAAGGTTAAGAAAGGTTTATTCCTCCTGCTGTTTCCCTGCTGTGGTCAGAAAGACGTGCTCCGCCGGATGTTCACACCGCAGATCGAGTCTCCTCAACCCTCCTGTGTCCTTGCACCCTGCTGGTTTTGCTCTGCCACAKTTATTGTGCTTCCTCACCAGAAATACAACTCCAAGGACCTTCCTATGTCCTTAAGGATAAATGGATTTCTCCCATTGGGAAACAACTCACAGGCATTAGAGAGGAACRGCCGGTCCCATAAGTGCACCCTTAGGTGCTCCTCAACGCCACATGATCCAGATTTCAAGACTTAAAACACTGAAGAGGTGTGTTCTGCTGCAACAGGTTAAGAACTGGATGTTACTTGATCAAGAGCAGTGCCAACAGCTGTCCCTKAATAAATGAAAAACAAAAATCCTCCTTCCTGCCACAAATATGCTATCAGCAAGACAAGCTATGCTCTTGAACTCTGCATGGCTGCTAGCAGTGGCCARCCAGCCAGCTCAAATAGTTTCCAGCATTTTCTAACACATTTTTCACAATCTTCATTTTTTTTTTTCCATTATTATTTAGAGAATACAGATTCATACAATTATAAACTCACAATTACAGCTGAAAGTCTATTTGGTAAGGAACTGGGCCAGGAAGGATGACTAAGAGACTCTTCCCATGTCCCCTTCAAACCAAAGAGCAGAGTCATATGACCAAGCCATTCACAGCGTCGTATCTTTTATATAAACACAACTTTGCAGTATTGCTTGATTTGGATTGCTTTGAATTTGCCACACTTCTATTTTTAATGAAATTTTGTCTGATGTTCCACTTAAAAAATAAAAAAAAATAAAAATTAAAAAAAATAATAAAAAACAGATTAAGTTATAAAACTAGGAGGAAAACAAGGAGTTAAAAGCCTAACCCTCCTGCTACACCTACCCTGAAAAAATATTGTTATAGATCTGACTCTGACTGGCAAAGCAGATGGCTAGTTTGAAAAAAAGTTTCAAAGAGAAGCCAGACTTATTTTTGTCCATGTTGAAATATAGCMTAAGCCGATATAAGAGGCCTGAAGCCCTTCAGGGAAAAGAAACAGAAGCTGTTTTGTATGCAACAATTATTTATCTACTTATCCATCTCACATTGGTTGGTTTATAAATTGACTTGCCTTGAGACATCTGTTGAAGTATAACAGGAAGACTATTGTTTTTCTGAAGCATTTCTTTCTATTTAGGCAAAACTCTGCACTTCTCAAATTCAGCCTTTAAAGGGAGATTTTTACTTTTTTATCTTTCTAAAGCAACATTCACTGTGCAATTGTAAAACAAACAGAAATGGATTTTTTTGATTTGTTATAAAGCAAAGAAGAAAGATGGAGAGTAAATTCTGGATTGCTTGGCACAATAATTTATCTAGAGTGGCAGCAGGTAAGTGAACGTCGTGCTTGGGCAGCTTGATCAAAATCTCCCCATTTTAGTCGGCAATATTACATATTCTCCAAGACTTCTCCTGCCCCTTCCTTAATGGAGAGCAATGTCAGCATATAAAAGAATTTGCTGCTCACAGATTGGGAACATTCCCTCTCTGGTGAGGCAGCAGGTGCTAGATGGACAATCTCTAGAGCAAGTTCTTACATTGCTCATTTTTCACTCATCCACAAACCACTTCCAACATCCACCTTCCACCCTCTCCGGTGCCAGCTGTGAGGAATCCCTGCTGGATTCAGTTAGATGGAGGCACCAAGCAAGCACAGGAGATGCCCGTTCCATACATCCAGCCCTTCTTCTATAAGAGAAAGACATGGATTAATGATATCTACAACTACAAAGAGAGGGAGAAAAAAAAAGGAGCAAACTATATGTCAAMCAGTGTACAGCTGGCACTAAGTGCTCCACCAAAAAAGTAGTCAATTTATTATACACTTTATGAYGAAGTTTATTTTATCAGATGGTATGCTGTCAAAAATCATTTCTTTATTTCTTAAGGAGGCTAAAATTGATTTATCCCATTACTTTAGCAATAAAAAGAAATGTTAAATGGCTGCTTCTTTCAAAGTTTAACACTTTCCTGACCTCCTCCGCAGTCCACCAAATACCTAGGAGATATTAAGAAAGAAAAAGATTGCACGTGATTATCCTGCAAAATGTAGTGTTCAGTCCACATTACACTGGCATGAGCATGGTGAAAGTTAAAAAAAAAATAAAAATTAGTTTGTCATAAACAATATTCTTCCTACTACAAACTGTTTCAATTATTATTTTCCTAAATGGCAACTAGAGGCTGGGAAGAGCAGAGGAGTAACTGCTCTAGGTAGAGCACTAGAAAGGATGATAGACAACAGGGTCCTCAGCTCATCTCCTGGTCACACTTTCAGTGCCCTGTCCCATCTCTGCCTCCCCACTTTGGCAGGGAGAGGGTAAAAGAAGGGCAGAGGGAYGGGCTAGATAATGACTTTGAGAGGTCCCTTCCAGCCAACATTTCTTTTTTTACTATGAAACAGTTAACGGAGATAAAAGAAAACTTATGGCTAGGCTGGGGAGAAATAAAAAAAAGACACCCACACACTAGTTAGATACTAATAATTCTTTCTGTTTATCCTCAGTTGTCTTCTCATGTGACAATAATTTCCCAGAAAAACACCTTGGCACAGTGCTGAATGATTTTCATAACCACTTACCCCTAAGAAAGATCATCTAAGAAAGACCATTTGGGCCGGAACAGGTAAAGCACTGAAGTCTTTGTTTGGAGGAGGGAATCTAAAAGGACTTTGGATAGAGCTGGATGATTTCCAATCCGATTATTCCCATTGTTAGCAACAGCATAACCATCCTTACATGCACACAACACACAATACAGCCCACAGGCGATCACAGATAGTAAAATCCTTTCTATTCAAGGGCCGCTCGTTGGATAAGGATGCTGAGCAAGAACACAAGTCACCCAGGGGCTGGTRTTGCCCCACGAGAACCAACGAGACATGGGAACCTGAAAGGCCCATACCTGGTAGCCTCCTTCCAAGCTGAACGTACGGAAAGTTTTCCAAAGGGGTAATTACTGTGAACAATTGGGTTGTGGTCATGCCCGGAGGCCTCCGTCAGCATCAGGGGAGCTGCACGCCAGGCGTGCGCATGCACATGCCGAGAGGCTGGCCCTATTYGGGGGAGTTTTCATGGGAGGGTTTAAAAAACAGCTAGGGAAACTCTCTGGGGAAGAAGGAAACCTTGCAGGAAGGACAACTAAGCTTGGGGGATGTCTGGAGACTGAGGTCTGTCCTTTAAGGTCTAACCTTGCCCTTCTCATCATAAGGACAGGGCTACCTGACTCATTTCAACATATGGCTGTGCACGCTCTTCCCAAAGGCAGCACTTAACCCTTTCAGTTATCTTCCCTCGGAGAGTTAATAACAATGAACTGTTTAAAACGTTCTCAGGTTGTCCAATGGATTTTTGTTCTGGGGAAAACTTGCTTTAAAGCATGGTTTGTATTTAAAGCCTTGTCTAATGCATTTTAATCCAACGCATTACTCGGTGGCTATGTTCTAAAGCACCTCAAAAATGTGTTTTTTTAYATAACGGAGCTCTTAGGAGGTGACTACCAGTTTGACTCTGTACCCCCCAAACACACACTTTTGCTGTACCACCCAACACTTCTTTAAACAGAAAAATATCCATAGATATAATACACCTGGATATAAAGGAGAAAAACATACTTCAAGTGAAGTCATGCATCCTATCAGTGGAGTAAGGCAAGCCAGCTCCCTCTAATGTTGGAGCTGAAACATTTGGAAGAGCAGTAAGGATTGTGTCAGGGTCACAGCAAACAGGACTTGCATATTTTATCTCTACTGAGCAATTATTTTAGTTCAGCTTGCACACCCACTCACAGCCCAAAAAAACCCAACTTACCAGTAAGGAAGAAACATGGGAAAGCTGAACTTTTAGTCCCACTTAAAAATTGAGAATTTGGCAGGAGAGAAGTGAAGGTTAAAAATGATCCTCTGCACCCAAGCTTCTTAAAYTGCCAGTTTTAACAACGACCAACAGCTTTTGCCAAGTGTTATACATTGTCTCTGCAAAGGCAAAGCTTTGCTCTGCATGACTACGCTCTTTCTTTCCCTCCCTGCAGGCCAGTTTCTCGCTTGCACAACGGAGCAGGGAAGTGACACATACCAAAACATAAAATAAYAACTCCATCTAGCAGTAAAATGTTAAAGCAGCTCTACAGACTTTAAAGACATCTCTAACAGGTTGTTCAGCCACCGTATCCAACAYGCACAGCAAGAACAGTGCAAGAAATCACACCGCTCCTGCTACATGCTGGACAAATGTCAGCTGGAGAACTTGGTTCCAGCCAAGCAAGGGTAAGTTTAAGGAGCCAGGAATGACCAAGTTGGAAAACAAGATGTGTGCAAAAAGCTTTGCCTCCAAGGAAAGGGGAATGAGGCTTGAAWTTTTACCCCAACGTGCTGTTCTTGAACCTAATTAGCTGTCCTCTGCTTAAAGTTCTGCTTCAAGTTAGTAAGTTATAAAATGATCCCTCAGACAGTGAGCAATCAAGAGTTGTCTTAATTGCACCCCTTTTTTCCTTCAATCATCCTGACTGCCACAAGGGAAAACTAGGAAATACTCAGCCTTTCTATCCCTCCTAGTACAATAGGTGACCCCTTCTGGCAACTAACTTCAAATCCAAAATCTTTCCTTGAGCTTTCATTGCATATTTGATCAACACAACTGCAGACAGATTCACTTYTGCTCACAAGGTGAAGGCCCAAGGAGAGCTCTACCACTTCCAAAACAAGTTACTAGCACAGGCTCTGAATCCACGTGAAATTTAAAAACTGAGCTCAAAAAATCATAACCCCTGCACAAATAAACCAGCTTCAAGCAAAACTTAACTCCTCTGTTGCAGACACTGAAAAGTGATGCAACAGCAGCAATCAGGAAGCCTTTATTAAATGGAACATAAATAAAAAGCAATTTTCCTTTCCGTGTGCACACAGATTCTTCTAGCATCCTCAGGCTAAGTTGCAACTCTTCTTTCTACTCTCTCCCTCCTTTCTCCACACCATCCAAAAAAATACACAAACAGAACTACACCCACATAGTCTCCACACCAGATATTTGGATCAGTGTGAGTGTGCCTGGTGATTCCCAGCCACACAATTTAGCTCTCCAGCCTCAGCCTTCTCATGCCAATAAAAACATGATACATTACTCAAACCAATAAATATACTGGATGCATTTCTACGAACACCACAGTCCAAAGAAGAGCAAAGGCTCCTCTGGGAAACTGAAAGGGAGTGGCATCATGTTTTCCTTCAAACTGCCACCTCTTCTTCCTCCAAGACAAAAGGAAAAGAAAAAAAGGCTGAGAAGTCCCTAAAACCAAGGAACAAATCATTTAATAGTGACTCCTTTGAACACATCCATGTTTTCCTAGGCAAACTCCATTACTCTGTCATAAATCACAAGTCTCCCTAAGAAAGAAAAAAAAA